ATAATATAGTAGTCTCCATTTTATTTTCCATTCGCTGAAGTATGAAACAAGCTTGACGAGGCATGTCGGAATCCGCCTGTGCTGGAGAAGGTCTCACGAGGCTTGAGATTATCCTTGACCTCGGAAATCTTGTTGAGGACATCGTTGACGTTCCTAAGCGCGCGCTGCAGGCACAAGGCCGCACTAGCTCGGAGAGATTGCACACTCTTCCTTCCATGTTCCATGGGGGAGGTGGGTAATATTGGGATAATATAGGGTAATATAGGTTACATTGAGAGAATGGAAAATAAAATGGAGACTACTATATGTATATATATATATATCTGTATACATGGGGCTATATTGGGGTCATATAGGGATAATGGAAAAGAAAATGGAAACTACTATCTTATATCAGCCACAGCGCGAGGAGTCGAAAGTCTTCTCGTACATCAGCTCTACACCTTGCCGCAACACCCTCTTTGCATCTCTTTGAATCATCTTCTTGTAATTAAGTGCTGTCACAACTTCATAAGAATTATAGTAGTCAAAATACTAGGACTAGTAGTAGTAGTAGTAGTAGTAGTCGTGGTGGTGGTAGTAGCAATAATACGCGTAGCAATGGTGATAAGAATTGTGATAAGAATAATCGCCTGATTTTCAGTGGTGCACGAGAGGAGCCTTCAGCCCTGGACACTTCAAGTGGGAGGTGGGTAATATTGGGATAATATAGGGTAATGTTCTAGGGAGAATGAAAAATAGAATGGAAACTACTATAGAATATTGGGCTTCCCAAAAGCTGGGGACCTGTTTGGGCTATAGATTAAATTACAGCACCTAATATTTAGAGGTACCAAAATTTGACCCTCATTTTGGGAACTACCAACATGATATGCGAATGGCCAAAATCCTGGAATTTGCAAGCTGGTCTGCGCCGAACTTTGCAAGGTCATGCTAAAATGGAGGCACAACCGACCTGGCTTTCAAAATCACATGTCTCCATCCTTATCCATCCAGCATGCCTTGAAGCCCTGAACCAGCAGCTGGTAACTCTCACTTACTGGATTCAGCCATGATCGATAGCACCTCGACTTCTAAGCCGAGGGTCCTGAGATGTTTAGCTCCTGTACCGTGAGGTGTCGGAATTTGGACTTGGCGAATTCGCGGAAGAGGACATGACATCGGACCCCTTGGCAGGCGCCCAGAACGTGCCAGGCATTCCTATCAACTTTCAACATGACAAGACAAGTATTATTACCACTAGTAGTATTAACTTTAGTATTAGCATCATTGTTGATAATCGTAGTATAAGTTTATTACTACTACTACTGCTACTACTACTACTACTACTAGGGGACGCGCCTGTTCGTTTACGCGCCATTTCCGCTTGCCGGCTCATTTTCTTCAGGACTTGGAGGCGAGGGTTTAGGAATGTACCGGAAGAAGAAGCAAACTTCAGCATCATGGATGTCAAGCTAGAAGACGTCGCAGGGCCTTTTTCACTGGCATTTACAGCACTTCTGACCCTGTCATGACTCATTCGAAG